TTTGTTGTTGTTGTTTTTTTTTTTTTTTTTTTGGTGAGGAAGATCAGCCCTGAGCTAACATTCTGCTCAATCCTCCTCTTTTTTGCCGAGGAAGGCCAGCTCTGAGCTAACATTTATTATCAATCCTCCTCCTTTTTATTTTTTCCCCAAAGCCCCCAGTAGATAGTTGTATGTCATAGTTGCACATCCTTCTAGTTGCTGTATGTGGGACGCGGCCTCAGCATGGCCGGATAAGTGGTGCGTCGGTGCGCGCCCGGGATCCGAACCCGGGCCGCCAGTAGCGGAGCGCGTGCACTTAACCGCTAAGCCACCGGGCCGGCCCCTACGTCCCCGTTCTAATCACCAAGGAGAATTATTTAAAATAACTCTTATAGTTTTGTACTTATTGTAATGTACATTAGAAACTAATAAAAGTAACTTCAATGTATAATTTCAATGATACTATTGAAAAAAATGAAGGTGTATTTTCAAAAACTAGAGCAATTTAAAGTTGATTTAAAGAAAAGTCTTCAGTGAGTAGAGGTGTGAGTGTTACACAATGAGGGATGATTTGGGGCGAGTGCTCGGCTATAGCTGAGATTCCCCTGGTGGTGTCCATTTCCCAAGCTGATTCTACAGCCTTACCGGCAACATCCTTTGGGTACATTCCTCTTATGCTTAAATAAACCAGGATCATCACTTTTTAGTGCCTCTAAGAATACTCATGAGTACAGGTAGAAACATAAAATTTCCTTTCCAATCAACTGGCATAAGTTAAAACAAAAAAAGCAAATAGATTTGAAGAATTAGGAGAGAGGATAAACAGCTAAGAAATTGCCAGTTTAAACCACCGGACTGTAACTCACGTCCCTCCGTTATATGGCCTGGCCACCTTCCCAGAGTAATCCTTGTAACTCCTGTGTCAACTCCAGCTGGGCCCCATCACTCCCTCTTCTTGGCACAAATTCTCCTGATGTCACAGCTCCAGTCATCTGCCTCTTTCCTCACCTGCAATGCCATACTTCTCTATTTCTGCACATCCAATTCTTTCCACCTGTCCTTCAAGGAGAGTGCACAGGCACCAGCTACAGAAAGCCCTCTGCAACTTGGAAGAGCTGTCAAGGTGAGGTAGGCACTGTAAAATGGCTAAAAATGGCTCCCAACGTCCCCAGCCCCTGGTATCCACCCCTCTGTGTAATCTCCTCCCCTTGACTGGGGCCCAGACTTGCTCCTAAGGTATAGAATATAGCAAGAGTGTTTGGATGTCACTTGAAGACTAGGCCATAAAATACCATGACTTCCATTTGCTGTCATTCCCTTTATCCCTGGATCTTCTCATGTGCTTGCCCTGATGGAGAAGGACATCTGGCAAGGAATAAGAAACTGAGGCCCTCAGTCCCACCATCCTTGAGGAACTGCATCATGCCACAGCCACATGAGCTTGGAAGTGGACCCTCCCCCAGCTGAGCCTTCAGATGAGACCACAGACTCTGGCCAACACTGATTACAGCCTGTCAGAGACCCTCAAGCAGAGGATTCAGTTAAGATGCTCCTGGATCCCTGACCCACAGAAGCTATGAGGTGATACACGTGTGTTGTTTTAAACTTCTAAGTTTTGGGGTAATTTATTACACAGCAGTAAATAACAAATACACTTGGCCTTTGCTCTACAGGCAGAGGGAAGTAGGCCCCTCACCCCCTTCCATGTCACTGAATGTTCTCATTTGAGTTGCGATGTCTGGTCCCAGGTGCTCCACAGTGTTTAGGTCCCTTGAAGGCAGGGTCTGCATCTGATTCAGTGGAGATCCACCTGGCATGGAGCATAGCTCCTCACACTTAGATGAACAAGCCAGTGCCCTCTGAAGAGCTCAGTCAGGAAGTGAGTGAGCACGGGACACTTATCAGAGGTGTGCCGGTAAAAAGGCTTTCCAACAATGACAAAAAGTCCTGATTTGGGGTGTTTGCCAATTTCTGTGGTGTAAATACTACTACTGTAGTCAATTTTAAGCTACAGACAGTCACTGAATGAGGAGTGGAGAAGAGATGCGCACAATCCCATCGGCTTTCACAAGCTGCCATTGAACAGTCTCAGCAGACCACTGACACCAGTTCTGACATATCAGCTCTTCTGCAAAGGCAAAAATTACCTCTGAAGACACCACATTAAGAACCTGAGAGTGTCCAGAGCATAGCCAGGCCTCCCACAACCACTCGGCTGTGGCCAGCCTGATTCTAACTCACTGCAGTAAAAAACTCTGGAATACAAAAGGGAGGGAACACTAGTATTGAACCACAGCTCCCTCTGCTGAAACATCCAGAATGACTGACAGTGGAAAATAACGCACAAGGTGGACCCTCAGCAAACACAACTGGCCCAAAACGGGGTTCCCAGAAGACTCGGATCAAACGGGGCATCCACCAGGACCCTCTAGAACTTGCTACAGCAAGGCCTGTCTCCCTGACTTCAGTCTCCTGATTGTGACATGAAAAACTATTTACATACATAAACTCACTGTCTGTTAATTAACACATTCACTTTTATTTGCATAATCAACACTAATCTTGTGAGTTAATTAGACTTTATGTGCATTTGACTCAGGAGATTTAATTTGGCCTCTGATCTCTGCTTACAACAAGGACCCAGGCATGCATTTCCTTCTGGCCGTTTTTTCACAAGTTGAAACATTGTGAAAAATGTTTCACATTGTGCTTGCTGGGCCCGTAACCCAGGGTGGATGAGTCAAACCATCCCCTGCCAGGCCTCTCCCGGCCCTCGGGACTCCAAGCCCGCGTTTGTCCCATGAACTCCGACACACCGAGATGATCTGTTTGGTGTCCCCCTTTGACTGGGCTCCCCATCCCGCCCCCGCCCCGTGCCACGCGCCACGCAGTGAGGAAGACATAAACCGGGACGTCAGTCCCCACATCCTCGCCCCAGACGTACTAACAACCCTTCGTGGGGTAATAGTGGTGACGGTGGGTGTCAGAACCAGGAAGCTGTTAGGACACCAGATGTTTTTGCTGGTTGCACATGAAAGGAAGGACTGAGGAGAGGATTTTACAAATAAAAGAACTGGGTGTTTTTAAACAAAGTGGAGAATTTGCAGATTTTTTCTTGGCAGACTTGTAGCGTTCACTTAAGAAAGTGTGTTCAGTGATGGAACATTTCTTCCTCTATTGCTAATCCCTTTAAGAAAATACACTTACTAAATGTATCAAGAGCCCTGAAAAATGATCAACGTTTTTGAATCTAAGAAGCCACTTTAAGCAAAAACAGAAGTGGACAAATACTTACGCGGAAGGTGGTTTACTGGTGCATTATCTACAAGAATAAAACTTGGGGACAACTTAAATGTTGAAAAATATGGATACGGTTATTTACGCAATGTTAAATCGCTACAATGGAATATTATGAAGCTGTTAAAATGTTTTTCAGGAATTTAATGTCAAAAGAAGATGTTATCAATATAAGTGAAAGCAACTTAAAAAATCTGTGTAGATATTATGTTATCAAATTGTAAAATAAATAAATCTACTACACACTTACTATATACAGATGTTATATATACATAAACATGGGAAAGAAATGAACCGAGATGTTAGCTGTGGGTTATCCTTGGGTGGTAGGGATACTTACATATTATTTAAATTTTTTTTCCTCATATAACTGTGTTTCATAAATATTCTAAAATGAGTATGTGTTGCTTTTATACGCAGAAAACAATTATTTCAAATAATAATCCAGATGTCTATCTAGAATCTCGCAGAGCATGTTCTTATTTATTATTGCCACTGATGGTCACCTCCTGTCTTTAAATTCCTCCTCACTGAAGACTAAGTCTAATCTTTTAAGATTCTGACACCAATTTCAATATGTGTGCTTTTTCCACATCACTAAGCAATTCTCTGACACCAGCTGAGTGTCCTACAAATCAACTCAGTTCTGATACTACCTACCCAGAGATAGCATCAGATCCACAGGTGAAGGGCTCAGTCCCATAGACTGTCCCCCAACCCCCATTTCAGATGCCCATTGGAAGTCCAGGTTGTCACCTGTGCTTCTGACCAAGTGAATATAAATCAAAGGTTCCCACGACTTCCTCCTTGAGTTCAATTACTTTGCTAGAGTGGCTTACAGAACTCAGAGAAACATTTTACTTTACTAGATTGCCATTTATTATGAAAGGCTATAACTCGGGACCAGCCAGATGGAAGAGATGCATAGGGTAAGGTGTGTGGGAAGGGGCGTGGAGCCTCCATGCCCTCTCTCCCCAAATCTGTGTGGTCACCAACCTAGAAGCTCTCTGAACCCAGTCCTTCTGGGTTTCTATGAAGGCTCCATTACACAGGCAGGATTGATGAAACATTGGCCATTGATGATTGAACTTAATCTCTGGTCCCTCACCCCTCCCCAGAGGTCGGGGGGTGGGGTTGAAAGTTCCAACCCCCAATCACATGGTTGGGCTGGGAACCAGCCACCATCCTGAGTGACCTAAGGGCTTTCCAAAAGACGCTTCATTAACAGAACAAAAGACAACTCTATGGCTCTCAACACTTAGGAAGTTCCAAGGGTTTTAGGAGTTTGTGTCAGGAACTGGAATGAAGACCAAATATATATTTCTTATTACAAACCACAATATCACACCCTTTGTGCAAAGGATGAGCTCTATGCAGGAAAGCATTCCCTGATAATCTAGGGAGGCACTGAGAGATGACACAGCCCCAAGAACATAAATGTAGGTGATGAGAACACGGAAGCCTCGGCCAAGCAGAGTAGGACATCGCTAACCAGTCTCTGCTCCAAAGGCCAAATAACAGACTTTTGGAATCAGCGCCCTGCCTGCCCTGCAGCAGATGGTCAGATGGCCCTGCAGTTGGTATAAGTGCCTCCAGATTTCCAGGCTGGGGTTTAATAGCTCGGTTAAGCAGCAGTTAACCCGAGTCTAAGGCAAGCCTCTTAGGCGGCGACCAGGTCATCGGGACCACGCACGGCACGTGCAGCGGGAGATGGTGCCACCTACCTGTTGCGCGCGCTGGGTCCCAGGCGCTGGCACACCACCGTGGTGGTGGTGTGCTTCCCGCCGTCCCCCATCTCCTGCTTGACGTCCCACTGCCGAGGCTCGCTGGTCTGAGTGCCCAGGATGTTCACGCCCTTCTTCACCTTGGCCCTGCGGGCATGAAGATAGCAAGAGAGAGCCACAGATTAGTGACTTGGCATTTCCAGACCTGCCCAAGCTCCACTGAACTGTGATGGCTGGTTGACATCTTTCCATATCTGGTGACACAAAGTGCGCCAGATGGCGGAAATGCTGGGGGCGGGCCAGGTGGGGGTCGAAGGGGGATCTGCCCACAGACTCAGAACCATGGAACTTGCTGTCCAGCTGAGGTGAGGGGAAGGGGCCTGTGGACATTCTCTAAGCCGGAAGGAGCACAGTAAAACGTCAGGAGAAAAGTATGCCTGCCGGGGCTAGTCGTCCTCAATCGGGGGCAACTGTGTCCTGCAGGGGACATGTGGCAATGTCTGGAGACATTTTTGGTTGTCACAGCTTGGAGGAATGGTGTCTTCTGGTGAGTGGAGGCCAGGGAAGCTGCTAAAGCTCCTATGATGCACAGCACAGCCCCCACAACAGTCTCATTCAGTCCAAAGTGTCGACAGCGCCCAGGTTCAGAGACCCCAGCCTAGGTCTACACCCTGGTTTCACCATTTTGCAGCTTTGTGACTTTGGGCAAATAATAACCTCTCTGTGCCTCCCTTTCCTCCTCTGTAAATGGATATGATAATAGTAACTACCAGCATAAAACTGCTGTGGTGATGACACGTATTAATGCATATAAAGAGATTGCAACAGTGTCAGACATACAACAGGCACTTCATAAATGTTAGTTCTTGTTACATTGCTCCAGAGAGGTCCCCAACCTGCTTGATGTGACTTGCCAGGCCTCCTCCGGGCACACACTCAGCCAAAGTGCACAAAGTCAAGGAATAATAAAAAGGCAGAGCGCTCCTCTTACGACTGTTGTTCAGGCCACGTCTCTTATGCCTCTCTGACCCTCAGTATCCTCATCAGTAAACTGATGAGAAAAATAGTGGATTGAGCACAAACACTACTGTTGTGTCTTCCCAAACCCCACTTAAAGGAGAGGAAGGGACTGTTTTCAAAGGCATCAACTCACAGAGTTGGGGACAAGAGATGCAGCAGCAGCAAATGACTTTGGAAACCGGAAAGCAGATGTACCAGTGGGTGAAATGAGTCAGCAGAACTTCAGACTACATCGTGAGCTGGCAGTGAGAAAAGCTAAGAACCGACAGTTTACAGCATGGAACCCCCCCGTCTCAGGAATCGGTGGTACGGCTCTAAAAGTGGGAGTGAATCAGGACTAAAATAAGGAGGATTGGCTAAAAGTCTGTTTATGAAGTCACAAATGTTCTTCCCTTTTCCATGCAACAGGGTGAATCCAGAACTCCATATCAGGGTACCATGAAGATCTGAGACTTGAGTCACCATATTGAAGCTAGAGTGACTATGTGACCCTATGCTGAGATTCCTAGGCCTTTCTCCCCACAGCTGGACCTTCACCTCCAAGAGAAATCCTGGATTGTGACACTGGAGCCTCTCCAGCAGCCAGACTACGTCTCAGCGAAGCTTGTGGTCAACAACTCTCCTCCATGGGGTCAGAGCTTCTAACGGCTTTTAGTCCCTCATTCTTTTAGATGAGCAAACAAGGATTGTTGGACACTGAGAAAGTTCTCTACATGATACAGAGACCAAAACAGTCAACCTGTAGGAAGTAGAGCCCGTGCAGGAAAGACAGTAATTAAAAACACACAGTCATTCACAATCACAGAGAGATCAGAGAAGATCTGCAATCCCGACACAGAACAGAATGCTATAAAAAACACCCAGAAAGGAAAAAAAAATAAGCTTTTGCAAATTAAAAATATTAGAGCAGAAATGGAAAGTCAGTGGAATGGTTGATGGATAAAGTTAGGAAATTTGTCCTAGGAAGTAGAAAAAGACAACGAAAGGGAAGATAGGAGAAAAGATAAACTAAGAGGACCACTTCGAGGTTCAACATCTGAACAACAGAAAGAACAGAGAAAAGGGAAAGTAGGAATCATAATGAAATAATTAAAGAAATGTCCCCAGATGACAGGATTTATGTGCGTCTCCAGGTTGGAAGGGCCCCTGGGTGAGGACCATGGTCAATGAGGATAGAGCCACACCAAGGCACAGGACAGATACATTTCCAGACATAGAAGTGAATTCTGCAATCCTCCAGAGGAAAGAAAGGACCAGGGATCAGAATGGACTCAGAATTCACAACAGCCACTCTGGGAACCAGAGGACAATGAAAAATATCGTCAAAACTCAATGGGAAATGATTTCCAGCCTAGCTTTCTATATCCAGCCTCATTAGGAAGAAAATGTTTCCAGATATGCATGTTCTCCAAAGATTTACCTCCTACACCTTCACTCAGAAAACTACTTGAAGATGTGCTCCATCAAACAAGGAAGTAAATTTAGAAAGAAGTCATGAGATTCAGGAAACAGAAGATCCAGCACATAACACAGATGAAGGGGAGGGTCAGGGGGAAGAGAGGTCCCAGCACAACAGCTGAGCACCACATGGAGAAGGTTCTGGCAATGATGTCTCTGGGAAACTGAAATTTTCCTAATAAATTTGATGTGAATGAATGTTCTGAGAAAAAAATTAGATAATCAGTGAAGAGTTAGGGAATAAATAAGAGCTAAATACACAAAAAATGAAGAAAAATCCAAATCAGTTTTTAATTCTGAAGATTGGAAATCATTATGCAGAAAAGGAAAAGTAATCATAATTTAATACTTGGTTTTACTGTGACTAGCACACATACTTATGATATTTTAAACACTGAATATTAATCTAGACAAAATATGATGATTATATTGGAAGGATGGAGACATGGAAAGCAGAGCACTTATGTGGGGGCGGGGAGAGAGATATACCCTTATCCTCCATGGTGTGAAACTTATAGATATTACCTAAAACTCAAAAAAAAGAAGTATCAACCTTACTATGCAATTTAGTGATACAGGTGTAAACACCAGACAAGGTAAGAATTTTGCCTCTGTACAGGGAGAAAGGCAATAGAAGTGAATAGAATACTGTCGTACTTTTTAAAATAACTTTTAATTTTGAAATAGTTTGATAGTTTGAAATTAAGAAGTTGTAAAAAAAATATGTAGAGAGAGTTCTTGTGTACTCTTCCCCCAGCTTCCCCAGGGATAATATCCTAGGTAATCACAGCACATCATCAAAACCGGGAAATCAACGTTGCTACAGTGCCATGAAGTCAGGTACAGACCTTACATTTAGATTTCACTGTTTTCACACGCACCTTTTTTTTTTGGTGTGTAGTTCTATTGAAATTATATCACATGTGTAGATTGGAGTAACCTCCACCACGACCAGAACACAGAACAATTCCACCACCACAAAGACCCTCCCTCCTGCTCCCCTTAATAGTCATGCCCTCCCCACTCCCCACCCCACAGACATGGGTCTGTTCTCCATCACTACTGTTCTGTCACTTCGAGGATATTATACATGGTTTTGACCAAAAACTCAGCAGAACTATTTGACTCCTTAAATTCCATGCAAAGTTGTATCTTATGAAAGTCATAGCTTAAAAAATTACACACACACACACACGCACACACAGACACACCCACACATCCCTGCCCTGCTGAGTTCCCAGAGTGGAGGAGACAAATCCTTGCAAATAGTAAAGAGGCTAGACAGAGCTGAGCAAATGTGACTACCAGGCGGTCACCGTGAGGGAACCAAGGGGGCGGGAGGTAGTGATAAACCATGTCCCCACCTTTCAAATTTAGGGTATCTGAATTAGCATCAACCCCAGAGCAGTGAGAGCATATCAGCAGGCAACAGGCACTTTTTCTTTAGAAACTTCTTCTGAGTTTTATCTTAAAATGATTTGCTAAACACACGTGCCACCTTGACCAGGGTGCGCTTGGGGGACAAAGATGAAAGACGCATTAGCAAGTGAAAGCCCCCGTTTGTCCTAACCCCAGGAAATCCACGCCACAGTCAGCTCATAGCATGGACACCTTCCACCTCCACTGCCTGTAATAAGTGCCTCTGGAAATGTGACTTTGCTTGAAATTGGGTTTTGCTGCATTTGGATTTTGCTCAAATCTCCAGGTTTACTGAACCTACAAATTGTTCTTTCCACTTAATAGTTCCCACGAATAGGAGGATTCCCGTTGACTGGTGCAGTGGCTGGTTTCACCTCTGTGTGGGGTGGGACAATGAGCCACTGAGATGGGAGGAAGGCATGGGTTTTAAGAGGCCGATTTTGTTAATTAGGCGTTTTCTTTGATGAGATCAATGGGTGTTCCCATTTACTTCAAGGAACTAGCTGTTGCAGGAATTGGGGTCCCAGGACCAGAGTTTTGCAGCCAGCGTCAGTGTTAAAACACAGTGGAATTACAGGAGAAGCCTGGAGGATGCCTGGCTGCTAGGGAGGAGCTGGTGCAAGTTGGCCTGTGGTGATGTGAGAGCTGCCCTTTCTCGGCATCCAGGGTTGAGGGGAGGCTGTGGACCAGATGCAGGAAACCCAGCTTCTAGTCCCGCCTCTGCGGGGATGAGCTCCATGACCTCAGGAAAGTCACCCATTGGACCTCTGCTCTGTTTCATCGTCTGTCACTAGGGGGTGGCCCCAGTTCAGCGGTCCCCAACTTGTGTCACTAAACTGTTGCTGATGGTCGAGGAGATTGATTTTGGGTCCTCAGGCATAATGCTGAATAACGTCAACGGCGTCATTTTCATTTACTGGCTTAATACCGGGTACCGACTCTTCCTGGGCACTGACTCTTCCTGACAGCCACCGTGCTGGATGCTGGGATGTGTCATCTCAGGATTCAGGTGAGGGCCTGTCCTGGTGGCACTTCTAGTCCTGTCTGGGCATACCTGAGCTGGCTCATGCCACCTACACAACGCATTTATAGTTCACACTACTATTCAGGTTTTCAATCGTTAAAAACCAAAACTATTCCCCCTCTTTTCAAAATGTGCTTGCCTCAGGTGTAATACAGGGATGATTATGTGTTCCTTAAAGAAAACCAATATTCAGTACAAATTTTGAACACAGGAAGCCTAATTTCCA